ACGCACACACACACCATGCTTTATTCTCGTTTTGGTCACACACACACTATGCTTCATTCTCGTTTAGGTCACAGACACACACACACACACAGACACACACACACAGACACACACACACACACACACACACAGATACACACCACGCTTTATTCAAGTTTTGGTCACACACACACACACACACCATCCCACCCAGGCTCCTGTGATCTGGATGCCTAGGACTGTGTGTGCAGAAGCTAGGGGTGGTGGTTTGGATTGACCCCTCTGGGCCCCATTTTTCTCTGCCTTAAAATGACAGGAGGTGGAACTGAGTTCCTGGGATGACTCAAGGTCCAGACCCCCCCACACTTACCTGACCCAGTCTCCCACTTTGCAGACCCCTACGTTCTGGAGCTGTGAAGGCTCAGGCAGGCCATGGGGATAACACAGGGTCTAGGAATGGCTCTGGATGGTTCTGGGCGATGTGTGCCCAATTGCTGGAAAGGAGAACTTTCAGGAGGAGAGGCTGGATGAAGTCTGGAAGGCCCAGGAGGACTTAACCCTTCCCTATCCTGAGAAAACCCAATCCCACCACCTGTGTCTCTCGAACACACACAGACCTCCCTGGGATCTCTCTAGGCTGAGCCCCAGCCCTCCCACTCTCTCTCACTTAGCTCTTGGATGAGGCAGTGACCTTTGCCTTGACTCCAGCTCCATACCCTGGGCCCTTCCCCTACAGCTAATCGAGGATTAGCCCTCTCCAACCTCCATGGTTTTTAATGGCTCCCTCCCAGCTTCTTTCCAGAAACCACTCCTTGCTACTTACCAGGTGCCCAGAAATTGTGTTCTGAGAGCGTTGGGGCAGTGAAGCTGGGCTGGCAGAAGTACACCTGAGTCCCAATCCCAGAGCCACCACTGCCTGAGACCTTTGATGAGCCTCACCTCAAAGGAGGTACCAACATGTAGGTGGGGACACAGGGTGGGTCTAAGGAGACCAGGCCCTGAGTGGCTCTGAGACCAGTTAGAGACAGAAAAGGCCTTAAACGACAAGTTATGTCCATTAAAAATTTTGTCGAGAAGAATGGTGTGAATGCCATTTGCTTCTGCCTAATCTGTCCCTGTAACTGGCCTTCATACTAGCCAATTAGAACTAAAATCCTGGGCATGCGTGGTAAGAGACCAAGTTGACAGGCAGATGACCTCATCCCATAAGTGCTGCCTAGAAACCAAAATCATGGGACATTCATCATCAAGAGGTGACTGAGCCGATTTCTGAAGCGAGAAGTCCATCAGCCACTTCTGTGCCAGAATTCCACTGTGATACCTTTTTGAATATACATGAAGTTAATGGATATGTATGACATCCCCTTTCCCGTGTGGTATAAAAGGGCACTCCCAGCCCTTTGTTCAGAGAGAGTGCTTCCAGGGAGGATCCTCCCTCCTCTCCTTACTTGCCATGACTAATAAGCTATGCCTTGCTTTAATGCCGCTTGACTCTTAGTTATTCTTAACTAGAGTACTAGCAGCGAACCCATTGCTTTTGGTAACAGCTCTTCATTCCAAAGGTGAGGAGGTCCTCCAGAGAACTGTCCAGGCCCCTCCCAGCTCTGATATCCTGAAACTCTCAGCCCTGGGAGGAGGGGAACTTAGGGATCAGTGTGCAGCTCAGAGGACAGGGTAGAAGACGAGGGGTATCTCACCCAGAAAGAGAAAGGGGCTAGAAAGTGGGGGCCTGGGACTTAAGAATGAGTGAGAAGCTCCCCACGCCGAGGCCCGAGATGTTTGGTGTCTCAAGTGGGCTGGCACAGGCGAGTCTGGAGGGCAGAACAGCACAAGCATGCCCACCCTCCCCCCAGCCAGTCTTCCTGGGCAGCTGACAGGGCCACGCTCTGCCTGCTGCAGTTTCTGGAAAATAGCCACTGGCCTTCCCCAAAATGATGGCAAAGGGACAGACTGTCTGCAGAATGACTTGGCCCCAAATCAGGTAGTGTTTTCTGGGCCACAGCACTGGGAGTTGCTGCTTTGTCCAGGCTGTCCAGGCTTCCGGAGGGCTGGGAGGGGTGCCCTCCTCGTGCTCTTCCTGGCTCCTGTGGATGGTGGAGAAGAGGCTCAGCTGGGTTAGGCTAGGTGAGAGGGGCAGGCTGAAGAGGAATCATGATAGAAATACAGTTGAGACAAGGGCCACCTGAGGCAGGGTGCATTCCTGGCTGTCACACTCCCTTCTGATAAAATCACCCAACAAATAGGCACCTGTCACATGCTTGGCTACAGTGTCACTTCAGGCTGCGCCAGCCAGGCATAGAGGGCAACTCCCCTCAGAATGCCCTTCCCTACCCAGAGAAAGGCTCACAGAGGAGGGTAAGTCAGGCATTATGTGAAACCTTGAGCACATCTAGGCCTTACTTCCCCCATCTGTAATTTGGGATAACAGAGGTACCTCCTATGAGGGTTGAATAAAACCAATGCTTTACTGTAGATAAACAGCTTGGCATAGAGCATGGTACAGTGCCTACTATGTTAATTGTTCACCAAATGATAGCAGGAAGTCTTCCGGGTGGTGGAAAGTGAGAACATTTTCATTTTATTTTCTGAGCTTTCCCACGTTTCAAAATTGCTGTTGTAATCAGAGAAAGGACTACCATTGTGTTTTAAGGGGAGTGCAGCTTAAGAAGAGGGATATGGGAGGCATGTATCTGCTTCCCACTATTTGTTCATTCTGCTCAGGCTTTGGGAAGTAGGTGGGCGGTGATTTCCACATTGCTGTTTTTTCCAAAGGCTAACCAGATCCAGATCCAACCCTTGTGCTCTGGGCATTGGGTGGCTCCAAGGCTGAGGTGGTGGTAGGGTGAGGTGGTGGGGATTGGTGGGGAGGTTAAGAGACCAAACAGGAGGGGAAGATCTCCACTAAGGAGACACAAAGGGGGGTTACAAAGGGGGTTACAAAGCTCAGCTGCTCAGCCTCCCTATCAGAAATCCCATGAAAGAGAAAGAGGAGGGAGGGAGTCTCAGCTCAGCCCGGAGGCCACTTGAGGTCAGAGTCCCCAGGGAGAGAGGAAGGACAGACTCTGGTCTGTTCCAGAGGAGGTACCCAAGACCAACTCAGGTTTCATCACTAAGACCAAGGTCAAGATCAGACACAATGCCTTTCCTCCTCACCCAAAACTCCTGCCCCAGGGCCCTCATGTCAGTCTAGCGCAAGCCTCCCTGGTC